AATCCAGCGATTGAACGCTAACCTTTTAAAAGTAATATAGTTGTTTTGTTATGGTTGATTGCCTTATATAACAGATATAATTCACTTATGAGGTTAAATCACTTGTTGTTTATTATTTTAAAAAAAGAGAAAAAGTAAACCTTTTCAGAAAAAATCTTTCTATTATGTGATTTCCAGGAATTGTTTATGATAGCATAAAATTAACATACATATTAGTGTTTTTGATAGTTGCAGTGATATACATTGTCTTGCATATTAGACAATTTTTTTTTTTAATTTAGTGAGATATAGTATAATATCATAAAAGTGATACTGATGACTGTCTTGTATAATTTTCAATTGTTGCACAGAAATGTTGCAGTGCAGATTTTGAATAAAAATCTTTTGGGTGCTGATAATGGAACTGAAGTCAATTAACCATTTACTCTGAAATAACTGAGACCCAGACAATTTCAATTATTTCTGTAATTATTACAAGACTTATTAAGCAAGAAAATAATTGGTGCTCCCAGAGCCTAATTGGTTGAACAGTGAGTTTTCACATAAGCTTTTATACCTTTTGTATGCCTGTTCTTTTAAACAATGTCTTTCCTCACACCTCTAATAAACCACATACTGAAGTCCTTTAGCGACTTAACAAAGACAGTAAAGGCCGCTTTTGAAATCAAAGTTGAGGAGGTTTCTGATAAAATTTCCACCTAGTTACCACAAACACATTGGGCAGCACTTAAGGTAACTATTGTGTTTAAAAGTTAGTTTAACATGTTTGGATTCTTTAAGTACAAAAGTTACATGCATTCACAAAAGATGAAGCAATAAAGCGAGAAAACCTGTCAAACTGAAAGGTGAAAACGTAATCAATTGCGATTCATTGTATTACTTCATATTACATTGCAGTAAAAGCACTCTGGCAAACAGCTAAGACGCAATATAAAGAAATTCACTTTGGTTAAAATCAACCCATAACATACTATATATTAAATATTGATAAAGTGTCCAAATTTCCAACTCTTTAATTTTCTCCAATAGCAGAGAACAACTGTTATATGGCTTTACCCTTCTGGGCGTTTTAATCTTTAATTAGGCCCCAAATGTGAAAGGTCTGTACCAAGGAGCATAAGGGGCTAAAAATAATTACATTGTCAATAATTCTGCTATTAGCTATACAATAGAATCATACAAATCTTAATTTAAAAGTTGCCATTTCCATATCCGATTGAATTTTCCAATTTTTTCGCTTCTCAAAGCCGCCTGTCAGTTTAAGCTAGCAAGTGCTATGAGCAGCTAGCTTGCCTGATTGCCTAACCACAAACATCCAAACTAATTGCTACAGCTAGCCACGGCTAAATTCATTTCAACTTAGTTCCAACCATCTGCTTGAACCAGGAATAGCATTCAGTTTTTTTTATGACTTTGAAATGACTACAGTTGTATTAATCACTTTCCAAATTTCAAGTTATATATACCTGACATCAGGTATATATAATTGATATTTTTATAAAAAGAAGAGATGATATAGCAGTCGTACTTATGTAAATCCTTAAATTTCTGTTATTAGACATATTTGCGACTTTGATTTAAAGTATTGTAAACCGCTTTAATTTTGCAACAAAACTTTTCAGAAAAGTCAGTGAAATTATGTATCAATTAATATTTATTTTACTTGGGTACTAAACACAGAGTCTGTTAATTCTTTTCTCCACAAATATTATCAAATCGCAATAGCATTGTATGTGCACACTGAATTTAACTGTGAAAGTCGATATGACTCAATGACTAAAAGATTCCAGTACAATGTTCACAAAAATTATCCTAAACTTGCAAAGTCGACGAATATTTGTCTCAAATAAACAGTATTGTCTTCATTAATAAGGAGATCAGTAAATATTTTTAATGACAACATATTTTGCTTTTTTTGTAGACTTCCAGTACCTAAATAATTCACAATGTGACCTTTGAAAATGTGTGTCAAAAAGAGTAATATCAGAATACAATTGTTGCTATAAGGTACGAACAGACCTTGCATAAAAACACTCATCCAAAATTGTTTGCCATTTTTCTCTGTATGTGTGGTTGTAAGCAATATTCCAGACACAGTCAATACACTGCGAATATAGAAAATTATGAAATAGTGATTTCAGTAATTTGGGTTTACTCAAACATCTTGACCATCATATACAAACTTCGAATTCATGAAATGTTATTTTTTTAATCTTAAAATATGTATAATGCTGAAATTGTACATCCATGATGTTGCAATCATGTCCTATCCACTGTTTAAATGACCTCCCTCAAGATGAAAACATGGTATCACAAGCTAAACTCAGCAGTTTATATTTCAGTTACTAATCCACTGTTCAATCTGGGGAATAGGAAGCATGTTTTAAATAGTAAACTTTAAGTATTGATATCTCGCATTAGTTATTTTGAAAAATTGAAAAATCATTAATTTTTAGTCTGAACCAGGAAATTTTATCACCAAATTTCATACAAGTATCGCCTGATGTATGTAGGCTTTGAGCAATATATTGTCTTATTTTTATAAATGATACTTTTCTGGAAACAACAAAAACAAAATATTAATTTACAAATTTCACAGGTGGGAGTTTTTTTGTTTGTTTTTTTTACCAATGCTGTATTTTACTCAACTATTTAGTTTTTAGACACTCACAAAAATACAAAACTTAAGTAGACTTATCTGCCATGTGTCCTTAACTTTCTGTTTTTTGCCACCACTAGCTGTCTGATTCAAATGTCTAGTGTCTGGTGGTCTTCCCTGGTTCTACAGTCGAGCAATTACGATCACGGGAAATGGGGGAGGTCTGCATAGGAAGAGGGGTCAAAGCAGGATAGGAAAGGTCAAATTCAGAAAAAGAGGTCAATATTGGGGAGACATTCACCACCTGAAAAAACAGTGACACTTTTAATCGCATTGAGTCTTTACTCAGCATTGATTGGTCTGTTTCATTGGTACTCAATACAACCATATCCTCTTATTGATTTTCTACCTATGTAACATCCTTCCTCTGCTCCAATCGCTCCATTCCTCCCATTTTTTATTTCCTCATTCATTTCATAACATCTATGCACTTAAATGTCATACATTTCTAGGTGTGAGGCTATCACTATCTGTACAGGTTATGCAGACTACTTCAATCTCACCGCGTTCATTCATTCCTATGATTCCATGTGTAAATTTCATTTTAATAACCAGCATTCTTTGAGTTTTGCATCTTTCATTCATTTTGCTTTATCTTATCTTTTCTAACACACTAAATATTGAATTATGAAATATTAAAATTACAAAGATATTTCAATGGACCTCTACTGTGCTTTCAGTTCTGGTGTACTGCAAATCAATTTAATTTAATTTTGATTGTTGAGAAAAGCGTGCATTGTATAAGAGTGAACTTTTCACTGAGGTCCGTAAAAAAGAGAGAAAAAAGACACATTTCCATTGAGAATAAATATGTACCAAGTTTCATTGATATCTTAGCTCTAAAGGTAATATATTTTTTAAACTTGATGGTGAAATCTGAATTTAAAAAATAAAATAAAACTTCAGTTTGAACGAATCAAATAAAAAACAAAGTCTCCTAAATTTTGGGCAGACTGAAGCGTTTTAATTCAACCTTATCAAATAGATCTTTGCCAAGATCTATTGTTCAATTCTATCCATTTTATCACAGACTGCAATCTAATGAATAAAATATTCGGTCTCTTCTGCACCTTTATTCAAATACAACAATGCCAGGACAATTGTTATTCCCCAGTGCTGTATCATCATGAGGGTTCATCCTTTGACCTGAACTTTGCCCTAATTCCCTGGCCATGATGACCTCACTTGACCTTTGAAATAAAACAATTAGGATATCTGGAATGGTTACAACTGAGTGAAATGTATCAACTGGGGAGACACACTGACACAGTGTTGCCAATTTCAGCTACTGTGCAGTCACAAAATGGAGGCACACTCAGTAATCATGCTGGTGTTCCATAATATAAATATAATCTAAATATTTTAAACAAGAATATTTCTAAAAAAAAATAGTAGGTATAATATATATTAATATTTTTAATACAAGATGACAAAAAGGAATTAAATTCATTCAGCCAAACAATGACAAACTTACAACGTTTTTTTACAACAAAAGGCATAATACAAAAGATTTAAAGTTTTTTCCTGTTTTTTTCTCTCTAGCCTTGTAAATTGTTACATTTTTTTGTACTCATGATGTATCAAAGTGATTCTGCTATGATTCACTGAACTGAAGTTTGATTTTAATACATGTAGTGAGTATGAGTAAGATTAGACGAGACGCGGCTACCAGACTATTATCTAATCAGCCACTGTTTTGCATTCTATGCCAACCTCAAAAGCCAAATATGCCCCAAATTTCAACCACAAACCTCTGCTGCACATGGCTTTGAGTTCTATATCACAGATTCGTTTGCATCAAACATTTTTTATCCTGTGTTTTTTTATGCCCACAAAAAAAAATACAAGATCAAGGTAGGGGCATATTGGCATTTTATTTAGACACTGTTATTAATCTTGTAGTTTGGAGCTATGAGACAAAGCATACAGGAAATGGTGGGAATACTTTTCATGTTAGGCTTGAAATTGCCACATGGGTTTCGAACACTTTAAGGATGTAGTCTTTTGTTCTGAATGGCTAAACTGAAAACTACCCTTGTTGAAAAAAGCAGGTGAATGCAGTATAATGAGCATGCAAAGAATCGAGTGGAGCGTATGTGCAGGCAAACAAAGCTCTATTCGTCTGGCATTGGTCGCAGAATAATTATTGGGTAATACGACAATAGCCAAAAAATGAAGTAGAACAAAAGCGAGTGTGAAAGTGTGTGGGTGTATAGTATACCACACTGGCTAGCATGCATCACATGTGGTTTCTTGAAACTACAATGTGGGTAAAAAATTCAAAGGAAATTTATCTGGAAATCAATGAGAGTGAAATTAAATTGATAGAAATCATGCTTACTTCTGGGTTCTCGCGGTCCATCAACGGTCACTTTGATTGCACGGTTGTAAGTTGCTATTTGTGGTGGGTTGGTGCTCACTGTTATCGTCAATGTGAAACTTTTGCCTGAAAATTGATAATAAAAAATAAAATTAATTTATGTGACTTAAATTTTATAAAAATATCATTTGTAATTTATCCCATTTTACATTGTGAAGAAATTGTTTAAATACTTAAATAAAACAAATCAATTCTTATTGCTGTTATTTGCATTCTTTCTTCCTGGTCACTTATATATAGGAAATAACAGAAATATTTCAGCGGGATTCAGGAAGTCACATTGATCCCTGACCCAATCATCCCACTGAAATCAGACTAATCAAACGCAAAACAACTCCAAATTATTTGGCTGTAATAAGTTCATTTCTATTGGAGTGAAATGTGATCTCAGCAGGGCATTTGCAAAAACAACAAATTAACAAACATGTTACAAGTGTATTAGATTAGACTGACCAGAACAATATGGTAAGGTAGGATGGAGTTTGGGTGATCTGATGTACTGGTTTCAAGTGAAACTTGGCCACCCACTCAGTCCAATTTCAAAATATTAGTCTCATTATTAACAACTCTCACTACTAGTACATTGTAGTCAACAAATCGACTGTTAATTGTGCTGTTTTAATGACGTAAACTTCAGTAGGTCCATGCCGACTTTGCTATTTTTAGAATGTCCTATTGTATAATAAGTTCGTATGTAAGCGATACACATGACAACGTATTTTATGTTTGAGTTTTCGTAATTTATAAAAAAAAATGATGTGAACAAAAACAAAAATTAAGACCATAAAAACCGGGCAGGTGATTCTTATTGATATTTATTGAAGTTCGCAACTAATTTAGAGCTGCAGTCATACTTTGTCTTCCCATCACGCGAAAAAAAAAATACAATAGAAAAAAAGTTACTTCCTATATCCAAAGACATCTTTGCTATATCCTGCCCTCACGCGAAACAATATCACAGTATTTGTTTGTGAAAGGACTTTGAAAACTTGGCATCACTGATCATACGTGAATGGCCATAAAAAGGGTGCGCGCCGACATCCTGGTAAACTTATCAATGGCCAACAACGAAATGAAAATACGCTAGAAGAGATCGGCACGTGTCCTCGTTGAGAACCACGCACTCTTTACGCTATAGTAACCTGTATACCGAGTAAACATTGAATTCACCAGCTTCCAGGTCGAGAAACATGTCCAAATAAAAAAAGCAAGGTCACCGCATCCACTTCCTTACCGATGATTTACAGCGATTTGAGAAAGTCGGCAAAGTTTGTGAACGAGTCACGGATCGCCAATCAGGCCTTGACTTCCTGGCCGGCCATCACAATTCATACCCCAACAATAAATATAAAAAAGGGGTGATCTTACCTCTGCCTGATCTGCCAACAAATCTAAGATCGTTAAATCTGGCTACTTGGTTCTTCATCACCGCTGTTGAGTTCCGTAACTCTGCACAGTAATTCTCATCGTTTCCCGCTGCTATGGTGACGATGGTACCATCGTTTACTTCTCCAAGAGATACAACTTTGAAAGCTATAGGTAAAGTCTTATTGCACCGCCAGTGAGATGGCAAAACTGAACACACAAAATTTGGGCTTTCAGTCCTTACAAGTTCGCCCGGATATTCAGAAAGGGCTTCAATGAGTGTCCGTTCCCCCCGAAACGGGTACTTTCGTGTTAAGTCCGACATTTTACTCGGCTGATGATGGGCGAGGGGGGAGTAACGTCGATCTTCTGCTTTGATATGCATCTGGAATCACTGTGGGTAGCTTCACTTCTAAGGCGTAATCACAACAAACTTCAGAAAACCGCACTGCAGGTTGGGCTAAGTCTTTGCAAAACGCCGGCAATCTCGGCGATGATGTATGGTTGAAATATTAAGCCACCACTCCCGCGCGTTCTCGTAACCACATGAAACAACCCCGCAATTGGACGGTCGCCTTGGCGGAAACCGGACTATTTCCAAACGGCTCTGGTCAACACAGTGCTCAGATCGAGAGAAAACGATGCCTGGCTGCGAGTCGCTATAAATGATTAAATACTGTATATACAGTGGCAACTTTGATAGGTAGAGGTAGGACGTAATCACGATATGTTTTAGACTCGTCTATTGCAAACATGGGGGAGACGACAAGTAACTTATGAATGAAACTCGAAATTTGGTAGGGGCGGAGCCCAACATATCCGAAAAAGACCAATAAAAACACGCCAATAGGAAATCGCCTGTCAGAAACACGTGGTACTTGTGGTTTGTGGATATCTTTTCACGCTAAGTAACCGTAGTGCGCAGATCGACCAGCGAGCCAGCTGAATCACTAAATGTTGCCCGTTCTCGATAGATTCATGTTGATTCCCCGGAAAATCGAATCATCGAACGTGGAAGTCTGATTTCCTCTCTGTGAGACAAAAAAAACCGGGGTAGATAATTTCACCCGGACGTGGGCTTTAGACCATCGAGTTCATTCACACCAAAATGAGATTGTTGGGTGCCACACGGAAGTTTGACTACCCAAGACAAAGAATATTATTTGGCACACCCACAACAATGTGCAACAAATAACGTGACAAACCGCGTAATAATGCTGAGTTGAATGAGTAACTTATAAGGGGCAGCTCAATGCCACGCCCACTTGATTACTATACCAAAAATTGTCAACAAACTTATCCCCGCCTCATTGTAAGCAACAATTATGCAATTAAAGATGATTCACGCATGCGCAATCGATTTCAAAATGGCAGCCGCCATTGAGCTAAAAATGTAAACGTGAGTACAAAGTTTTAACAAGTATTGGTGACTATGACGAAGCCGAAAGCCAAATCGAAGAAAACTGAGAAGGCAAAGGAACAAATGGGTGTTAACAACCCTCAGGAAACAAAGGTATTTACAACATCAATTTGAAAACTGGTGCACAGACGACGTATTTTTTAAAAGATTATGATAGGTTCGTGCAATGGATCAGGTAACACCAACGCAAAGTGCGTAGGAGTTGTAAGCATCACAGGCGTATTGAGTAACCACGCCGCACCTGTCATTCTCAGTATGAATAATGAAAATGTCAACCTTTAATATTTGACGATGTTTTGTTCTAAACCACAGTCACGATGAATGTTTCTGATGTGCAGATGTTTATCCAATCAGCGGATTTAATCGTTGCTCGAATTTATTATTCTCGATAGTCGTGAGATTTGGGTCTGGGATATTTCAAGCATCGTTGATTTCTCTTTTCCGTTTACAGCCGCTAAATACACATGCATCAAGTCCGGCAAGTAGTATACAGTCAACACCGGCAGTCGCCGCTAAACTGACACCTAAAACATGGTTTACCACAGATATACAGCGTATGATGTAAGTTCACTTTGTCATACTGCCAAATACTAGTAGTATCATTCAATGCACATGTTTACACAATAACAATCATCCATCATTCACAAACAGTGGCATTATTTTGAAAATCTGCCAAAGACAATTTCAGATAACTTCAACATAAAATAAACATATCCGTGTGTCCCTGTAAATATTATTCACTGTATTCTGTCCACAGTCACTTGAGAACTGACAATTAAATTGATCGGTACTTTTTTTTTTTACTTTGGTACTAATTATTTTTAATTTTTTTTAATTAAAATTTTAAATTATTTCCTGAGTTTTGAATCGATACTCAACTAAATCTATTTGTATTTTAAGCCCTCAAGTGACTGCAATTCTGTCTCTGGCTTGAACTATTTTTCTTGATTTTAAAGATGCACATTGCTTGTGTAAACACTTTTTTTAAGATCACAAACACAAGGAATTACAAAAACATTTTTATTTTGCTATTAAACATCGGTTATTTTTTTGAGTAAAAAAAAATCCCAAACTTTACTAAAACAACTCAGAAGCAGCTATGAAAATGTAGAGTAAACATTGCAACAGAATGAACTTCCAAGGTAATAAACATTTTCAACAGGGCCTTAACATCTTCTGGGCAGGAACATGTGTATGGTATCAGAATTAGTTATGACTCATAGTCACATTGATCTTGGGGGTGGATGAATCTAACCAGCTACCAGTGTTTACTACATTTTTCTATGGCCTTTCTAGGCAGATTAATTACACAAACCGGAATTGACTGGAAAGGGGGCATACAAATTTAGCACAATGTGATTAGGTACTCAGCCTTAGGCATAATAATAGAAATTATTAATATCATTTCACTCAGTGATCAACTTGATATGTAAATTTGAATTATTCCGCAATGACTAATACTACCAAAACATTTAGAACATTTTTAATTATCACCTTAATTACCAGACAACCTGTGTCATGCAGCTATGTGCATGTAGTTGCAGCCAAACCTACATTTTCTATTTAGCAATACAAAAAAAAGAAGCATATTTAGTTTCTGAAATTTATATTGAGAATTAGATGCTTGGAGCAAAGTTTTGCAGATTAAAGTACTTTCATTTTAGAACTATGTTTATCAGTTTTGTTTTTGTTCATATGAATAGCAGGCATTTAAAGGAGAATGTGTGTCACATATAAATCAGCTAGAACCAAAGTTGAATGTATCATTAGTTGAACAATGTTGGCTTTTTGCCAAGTAAACTGAATAACTCAAACTGAAAGTATGTCACTGTGTTTTCTGATTGAACTATCAGTATTTTTTCACCACTACTGGTATAGGGACATTTTGAGGTTTTCTTTGAATGAAACAATAGGGAATAGTTCCTAGGAGTGCACCTGCTGCACTCGTTGACATTCATGTAATCTGTAACCATGGTGACTACTTTCTGACATTCACTTCCTTCAGTTGGATACTTTTTTGTGTACTTCATGGGGTGCCATTACACTCAGTCAGCAAAAAATGTCAGTAGTCTTTGTACTCTTCCATACAGCTGTGATATTACTGAAGATAGTTTAGTGACATTTATGTAGCCATGGAAACTTAGAATGACTGTTATATGTAAAAGTTTTGTCAGTCATTTATTAGTCCCTATTTTGGACGAAGTCGGGAACTTTTAATTTGTGCTGTCCATCCATTCTTTGTGCGTCTGTAGCCATTTTCTCAGACATGGTTTGACTGTTCATATTCGCACTTAACACACAGACAATGTAAGATGACTTACATAGGCACATTCATTTTCATCACTATTTGCTCAAGTATGGCTGACTGTCGGCCATTTTGGTCCCCAAAATTGCTGAATTAGGATACTTTAACATGTCTGAAACTTGTTTTGTGGAGATAGACAGGGCAATTTCATTCAAACTTAGTATCTTGATCATGCATATTGCGTTACAGGTGCTCATCCATTCGTGGGTTCTGCATCTCCTAGTAATGCTAGTGACAACAAAGCTCATGAAGATATATTCTGATTTGCTGCACAGCGGTTATTCAGTGAAAATTAATTTCACCTTAAATAAAATATTCTACAGTAAATCTTATAACTCTTGCTACTCTCCACAAAGAAACATAGCAAACTATCTTGAATAACTAAACATTTTTGTTATGTCAATTCTAAATAAATATTTGAAACTTTCTCTATTTTGATTTCTGTAAAACTATATTGTAGATTGTTTTGGTTTTTAAAGAAGGCACAGTGTTCACAGTCAGCCTGCCTGTACACTTTCAAAATAATATCCTAATAATGATGAGTCATTTAAGCCTCTTTTAACATTTTACGATGATCCATCATTAGTCAAAGAACTGAGGGTGATGACATCATAGGCAGTAACAGTGCCCAGTGTGGTGAACTCCACTTGCAGTTTAGTCTTTGACATGGAGGACATTCTTACTGTGAGCTGTGTGTCTGTGACGCAAGTGAAAGATGTTCCTATTTTTAACTCTTATTTTAATTATTTTTGTGTGGTTACCATGGTTACCATACTCTTGACAAACAATTTCCACTCATTTGATTTCAGTCATCATGTAGACTTCATTAGTGAATGATGTTTTTTGAAAATATAATGAGAAATAAAGTCAATGATCACTGTATTTTCTGTTTTCATTTCCCAATTTTTATTTTTAAATAGTTACAAAATGTATTTGTTTCTTCTTTCAGCACTTGGGTTGAAAATGTTTCGGTTCCTCTTGTCACTATTTGCGTGGATAGATCCTAATGTGACATTTTGTATCTTTGGCATTCTTCAATCATTGATCTGAATTTGTTGAATATATGCCACTTATTATATCACAGGTGCATGTCAGTTATTCAATTTGATTTGTGTAAGTAAAGTACAAAGCACTAAGGTTCTCAGATACCTTGGGATACGAATGTATGATTTCTATATTTACTGAACACATGGTGCTCCCTGATTACTTGTTTCTCTTTTGGTATCTCAGACATGCATCTGTATCTGTGTAACTCAGTGTATTGTTTAGCCTAGAATATGATTTTTCGGAGGCATCCATAATATGCAATAATCATTGACCGTAAATACATGTATGACTAGTTAATTTAAAATACTGTCATCATAAACATTAATTATGGGATATTTCAACAAGGTGCATTTAAACTGATCAATGAACAGAAAGTATTTTACTTCCTAT